TAGTGACTCTTAAGAGCATCAGTCAGCCTAAGTAGTATAAATACAAGAGGGAGGGAGAAGTCCCAGGGGATAGGGAATAAGTCATCGTTATAGACTGCTGACTTTTGACCTCCATCCCAAATCTGACAGTAAAGATGCCAATCAATAATTCTGCCAGCTCTTCTTTGCATCTACCTACTCCCCATACAAGATTGCAGAGCTCCCAGAATCATGAAAAAGTATTACGATTCCGTACATAATTCACAAACAAAATCGTAAGTTAGCATCCAGGAATGCAGGAGGTTCAAGCACTTGATAGTGACTGATAGTGTCTCCTGTATGCTTCCTACAGGCAAAAGAAAATATCTTTGCAAGCTTTCAATCACTTTGATGGAGAGCAATTGTATACACCACTACTAATTAGCATATGACTGCAAGGAATATAATATTAAGCTATATATCTTTTCTTACAAGCCAAAAATACCCATTAATTGTGGCCTACAGGGCCTGTTGTTCTGAGACTCTTTGCAAGTGTACAGTGCACATGCTGAGTAGAGCTCTTACAAAAACATTACACAGACTGAAAAGAGTAAGAGTGAGATGTCTAAGGCCCCTGGCAAATGTTAAAATAACTTCACAACTGGAATCAGAGGATTTTATGCCCACTCAGAAATTGTGCTTCCTGCCATGCCAGATGTGCATGGAAGGACATGTGATTTTTGGGATAAGGGATAAAAATTCCTTTGATCCAAATCACGTGACTGCTGGTGCAAGTATCCCAGCATTGAGACCCAGTCCCCAATGTGATGTCCCTGCCTACCAATAACTTAAAAGGCAAGCCATGTGGCCCAGCATGGGGAGGAACTGGTTTCTCTATGCCAGGCTGCATATGCATACTTTAAGGTCCCAGGGTGCTGTGAGTTTGACACTGGGGAGCCTCTCCCTGATCTTGGGCTTTCAGCACCCTGGGACCTTAACAAAGCATGTGTGCAGCTGATCTAAGCCTTGGAAAAAAAAAAAAAAAGTCAGCTGTATAATTTGTCTGGGGAACATCCTGTAGCTATGAACTGCAACAGCAAATGAGTTGGCTATGAAGTGTATACTTGAGAGTGGTTCCCTTTATCATTCTAATGCTTATTCTTTTTAACTTCATCAAGTGTCATCTTATTCTTGAGCTATGGGACAAGCTTTGAGGCCCATCAGTTCCTCTGTTCACGTCTGTTCTTAGTTCTGACAACTCCTTCTAGTTTCCCCTCTCAGAGGTATCGAGTACGCACATATCTCCATGCAGATACAGTCCCATGCATCTTGCTGAAGACAGAAAAAAATATTCCAATCTCTGCTGCCTTCCCCTAAAGTCCCACATTCACCCTTTCTTTATCTCCCCTCTGTCTCTAATCAGGAATGCATAGCTGACAACCATCCTTCTTTCAATGCTGCATTAGCAGAGAACCAACATGTCAGACCCACAATATTAACCAATTCTCTTCTCTCTCCCGCTCACTACAAACAACTCCCTTCTCTTCAGCTGACAAATTAGAATCTTTTCTTCATATAGTTACAGTCTTTGCAGACCCTTGACAACCCAGTGAGAGGCCAACTAAATAAATCATTCAAAAGGAAAGAGCTGCTTAAGTTGTAAGTGACCTGAAACAGCTGGTAAAATTTTTAAATGCCCATACCCTCCTCAAGGCAATGAAATATTTGGTATGTGTAAATAGTGGCACTCCAAACCTGCAGGGGTACATGAGGACAGGGTTAAGAAGGAAGCATGGGACTGGGAAGCAGCAGGGATAATTAATTTTTCTTGAAGGGTTGCAATGCTGCCATTAATTTCCTTGTAGCATACAGAATGTTGGAACAGTCTCAATTAAAACTGATGTTCAAATGCCAACTGTGCTTGTCTGTTAATCGCATGCTTTGCATATTGATTTTAATATGTATGTATAATTACAGAGTGTAATATTGGTTTTGTGAGAACCTTTAAAAATGTGCTTGCTTTTCAAAATTCTTTCAGTAGTATTATAATGGCTTGAAAGACACAAACACATGCCTATCCACTGCAACTACTGTTTTTTCTGTGTGTAATAATAATGGTGATTACAACTTAAGTAAATGTTTATCCTCTGAAATAGAAGAATAATTAGAGGTGTCTGGTTCAGAACACTTTTTACACTAATATGCTAGTAAGGACAACAGCAGACAACATCGCAATGAAATTGGAATGTGCTTACATTACAAAGATGATACTTCACAGAAGTTACAAAGCTCTGTATGTATGCTCCCAATGCCTGATGCTAACTTTTTAAAATAGCTGTTTGGCTTGGTGTTGCAAATTACATTATAAATGTTAAAAGAAAGTAATGCTTTGATTTATCCATGACTCGTCTCTTCAATGGCAGAACACACAAAGCACTGTTGACAATCACTCTGTAGTTACACATCACTAGATAGCCCAAAGGCTCCCCCAAACTTTTCAGAAACATTATATCCTTTATTTTTGGGATGGGAGGTGATGGCAAGCAACAGGAGCAGAGCAGGTTGAAAGTTTGTGTAGAAAAATGGAAAAAGCACAGGAATGGGAGGAGTCTGGCTTTTGTGAGATGTCACAAGATTGTTAGCAGCTAGGCAGAACAAGTAGCTTAGCTTTTAGTTACATTAACAAAAACAGATTTGTTAATACCAATTTTAATCATAAATATACAATAAAAAGGTATAAAAGAAGGTAATAGAGCAGAGCCAGACTGAAAAATTTATGGGTTACAATATGGTAAATATATAAAATTATTTTTCATTCTAATGAGATCTACAGTCGTTTTGAGCAGGTTGTGTCAGATCCCATGTATAGATAGCTATGCTCTTGTGGGAAGAATGAGATTTGTGGTCTTGTTCATTCTTTGAAGAAAGAAAAGGAAAATGGATCTCTCCATTAGCGGAAATTTTTAAATACTGAGCTAATGAAAAAAAAAATGTGGCTCCTCTAACAATTTACAGCCTGTCCTATACTCCTTAGGTGTATTTGTGTTACTTGCACAAAGAATAAGGGCCAAAAAAAATAATCAAATCAAATAAGATTTCATCCATTTCTATTCTTTTTTATTACGCTCCACTGTATAATGCTTCATTTTAGTTACTATTTGTATCATCATATGCTATGTTTTGTTTTAAAATCTGTTTAAACTGGTAGAATGTATAATCTTATTGTACCAATGCCAATAATCACAAATACACATACGCCTCACTCCAAAAGGGATGTGGCCAGCCTGGAGAGGGTTCAGAGGAGGGCCACCCACTTGGTGAGAGGGCAGCAGGACAGGCCCTACGAGGAGAGACTGAAGGACCTGAACCTGTTCAGCCTCAGCAAGAGGAGGCTGAGGGGAGACCTGGTGGCTGCCTACAAGCTCATCAGGGGAGATCACCAGCAAATGGGGAGAAAAGGGCTCTGCCTAGCACCACCTGGGGTGACAAGAAACAATGGTAATAAGCTGATGGAGAACAGGTTTAGGTTAGAGATCAGAAGGCAATATTTTACAGTTAGGGTGGCCAAAATCTGGAACCAACTTCCCAGGGAAGTGGTCCTCGCCCTTACCTTGGGCAAATTCAAGAGGAGGTTGGACGATTACCTGTCTGGGGTCTTGTGAACCCAGCATTCATTCCTGCCTGTGGCAGGGGGTCAGGCTAGATGATCTGTTCAGGTCCCTCCTGACCCTAGCTACTATGAAACTATATTTTTATTAATATAATGTTGTTGACAATTTGATTGTATTAGGCAAAAGCTGTAAATAAATTACTACTACATTATAATGAGCTATATTAGGTTATTTTTAAAAAACACTTTAACTGAAAAAATAGGCTCTGAAATGATCTAATGAAAAAGGAAGTGGCTCCATTCCTCTTTATTCTTCTATCCTTATTAACTGCAACTAGATAATGCTAGACCAATTATCCTCAAAACCCAAATAGCCAGTCACCAAAAAGTGCCCTCCTTTTAGTTTACAGTTGACAAGATGAACCGATGCACTCCTCTCAACCAGTTCACATGACAGCATTTCCTCCCAACCCGGAGGAGATACAAGCTAATGAGCACATTGTGCGGGTGTGAACTTTAGCAGCTTCAGATTTTCTAAGTACCAAAACTGAAATGCACCCCCTGCAAAAAAATTATTTACAGAAATGGGATAATCTGAGCTAGATAGGAGCTGTTCCATTTAGAGACCCACCACAATTTGGCAGGACAAATTAGCCAGCACACCATGGTCCATGCTGCCATAGCAAGACTGTTTTGTGTAACCAGGCTGCCTCATTTAATGCTAGGTATATACTATATACACTTGAAGGAAAGAAGTTGAACCTTCTCTAAATAGATCCCATAGCTTGGCAACACACACACACATTTCTTTTGCAAAGGAATTTTACTCTTGACAGCTTCAGAACATGCTCCAAGTTCCACATCTTGAACAAAACTTTAAAAGAAATGGAAAACCTCAAGACGGTGAGATGTGCATGATGAAAACAGGAGTTTATTGAAGAAAATTGGCTGGTCAGTCTTATAATTATGAAGTATAATATTGCTTTTGTGAAAACTTTTCAAATAGCACGCTGCAAAAATTACTAAACATTTGTTATAGCCTCTCTCTCTCTCTCTCTCTCTCTCTCACACACACACACACACACACACACACACACACACACACACCTCTGTCTTCACCAACTTTTAATGCAGAAACCAGAGTTTAGCAACTCATGTATGCAAAATTAAAATTTGATGGGGAGAGGGATAAAAAGTTATTTTTTTCACTAATTAAAAGAAGACACCGCATTCATATGAAAGGAAACTCCCCTACTGCGTTATGCATAGATACTAAAGTATTTAATATTCAATAATGGAGATTTTCTCTATTGTAGTCACAAGAACTGCACAAGTTCTTAAATTATAACTGAATCAAACATTCCCCATTACATATATTTGCTGTATTAGGTCTCCATATTTATAGTTGCTAAGGATGGAAAATATCTATTACCTAATCCACTACTGTTGGGTGCAGGATTGTTCTCCAGAGCTTTGTCCAATCCTCTTAGATGACCCCACAGAGAAAGACTTTTACTTCTTCCTTAATGTAATTAAAAAAAAAAAAAAGGCAGGCTGTTATTTCTCTAGTGTTTACAAATATTTAGGCCATTTAAATTTCTATGAAGCAATTTAAAAAGTTATATTTTTGTGTCAATGTATATCATAATTTTTTTTTGTATTTGACAGTCAATAGACTGTTCAGAAAGAAGCTCTGAAGTTAACCATTTAAAAAAATATATTTTTAAACAAAGCCCTTAAATTTTGTTAATTTATGTATATCGTTCATGTTCTAAAAAACTCAAATATTTTATTCCTCCCTCTGTTTACTATTAAAGTATAGGGAAAAAATGTTTGGAAAAAAAGTGTCACACTCTTCTGGGTAACAGCCTATTTTTACAACCTTAAGGTCAATTATTTCTAGTTTAAACCATTCTGTTTTGTCACCAATTGTTTTAAATGACCACGTAATACTAAAAAACCCAGGGGGAATGGTGAAGGGCCATGGCCACTGAAAAGACTTCCGCGCTTTAGACTTGTGATGCATGATTACAAATAAATCGGACCACACGATTTAGCTGACACAAAGCCAGCTTGCATGATGCCTATTAGGTAAGGTTTGGGGAAATATGCAGAATTAACACAAACCAGAAAGGGGCTCTGGCACAGGCATGTCACTGCATTCTCTTTTATTATAAGTTAGTCACAAATTCACAGATAGAATTTGCTTCAGGCTTTTATAAAGATAAAAGTTAATACTATTCTCTTGAGCTATTTAGTTGAAACTAGAAACCAGCATATCATCGTTTCCTGCAAGTCATAAAGCTTTATGCACTCCCATATAACCATACAGAGTGCAGAACACATGAAGAGAGGAGTCAAAATGGTTACAGCCTACTCCCTGATTAAATGATGAGGGAGAAACCTTTACTAGTTGAAACTTTAAGGAGATTCCTGCCTGAAAGCTGGGTTCTCCCTCTGCAGGGGAAATTGCACCCAGAGCTGTTAAACACAATATAAAAACCCTTGCTAGTCACACTCCAACTAAAACAAAACCAGTGTCTAAGACTCACAGTTCCAAGATCTGTATGAGCACGTTTGAGCCAATAGTTACCATAAATGTGTTCAACACTGTGGTAGCTTCATACACAAATGGCCAATTAGATATGCTTTTGGTCACCTGATGTGCAATTACTCCATTTAGATGTGCATAACAGGGTAATAGGATATGCAGATCAAGTAGAAAAAAAGAGTATGCATCTTTGTGCACAGAATTTTAAAGTATGGAAAGCCTTAAAATAATTTTAAATAAAAAAAATCTGTTAGGTTTATATTAATATTATGTTAGTAATGTGAGACTGCACGGCTATTCAGCAAACATATTACACAGTATTTCCCCAGTAAAGGGCCCCTTTCCTTTTAAGAGCTACATAGAATTACCATCAAACCTACTCAGCTAGGACATCTACCTCATGTGGGTACTTGTAGCAGACATGCATAGCCATAACAGTTCATGCAACTTCACGGCATTCTCTCCCAAGCTGCTCAGCTTTCAGAGGTTAAGTCAACTTTTAAATACTGGAGATCAGGGCTAAGTACAGACAGTCAAAAAACCTGGAGCTGAATTGATTCAGTTTTTGCAGGTTAGTCTAAGATGCAAAGATTGAACCACTACACAAATTAACAAACATTCACATTTGATTCAGGGAATGCAGCCACATGCCTGCAGCAGCTCAAGCCAGAAACCAGAGGTGGGGAGGGGCATGCTAGAGCACAGCTCTCTGGCATGTAGCCAGCATGGGCTGCGTGTTTGCTTCCTCTACCTGCTGCCCCCAAGGTCTCTGGGATTTGCAGTTCACAAATCACCGACGCAAGATTCCCCCTTTGTCTCAGAGGGCCCCTGCCTCTGCTCCTGGCCTAGTGATCCTGATGGGGCAGCAGCCCCTTCAGTGGTGTCCTGGGGAGCACAAGCCTCTTCCTGGTGGGGGGGCTATGCTGCTGCAGACTGCACAGGGCAAGTAATGGTGGCAGCAGTACCAAGAGGAGCTTGGGGGCCTATGGCTTATTTCCCCTTCCATTCCCTCCGTCTCCGGGGAACCCCAGCTGGTGTCTGTCTGGCCAGGTGCGAGCTGTGGAGGCAACAGCCAGGGTTGGCAGACCCTGACTGAGGTCCCCTGGGGAGAGTGATGACAGAGGGGGGAATAAAGCCCATCCCTGCTCCCTTTACTCGGGGGACCATGCTGGCCTGGTGGACATGCCCCCACCCCTGCTGCTACAGCAGCGAGGTGGGGAGACCCCGACATGGGCTGCTTCGCCCCAGCCAGCCAGACCCTGGCTCAGGTCTGTTCGGGTGGGACAGGGGATGGAGGGGGCATATTAAATCTTCCATCCATCTCCATTTACTTTATGCTGCTGCCAGAGCGGGCCACGCCCCCCCCCCCCCCTC